TAGAATCGTGTACGCCATCAGCGACTGATACGTATACCGTTGCTTGTTGTATTGCGTCCCGTGTGTTGGATATGGCAGGGACCCGTCGAAGAAGCCAAGAATCTGCGCGCCTTCCATCATCAGCTCAAACTCGAATGACCAGGTATAAAAGTCCTTGCCGTCGAATGGTCTTGACGTTTGCAGCTTTAAAACGTGTGCGAAGTGCGACTGAACTTGAAGTGCATCCAATGTTTTTTCTTGTCCAGGTGAAGGCTGCTGATGCGACATTAAGCTGATGGAGCCACGCAGAGGCTCTTACGGAGCAAAGGTAGGCTGCTGCTGTTGATTTCTGCGCCTATAGGATGAACCGTCGAGGCTCATCGGTGTAACATCGTTGTTATTGTTGCTGTTGTTTGATTGCGTAGGTGCCGTTTGCTGGTGCTGTTCGTAGAAGAACATGAAGGAGAAGAACTTCTCCATCATGCTTGGGTCGAAGCCTGCAGCTTGGTTAGCGGGAGTTTCGGTAAACCCCGCTGCCGGTCTTGTTGCTGTACCCTCCTCTGTCTGTAGGCCAGAGGCAGGAGGTGGAGTAGGAGTAGTGCCAGGAGAACCGTTAGAGGAGCTTCTCTCCTTTTGAGTTCCCATGCTTGCTGTTGTTGTAGAGAACTTAATTGTAGTTGAGTTTGCCTTGATAGCTCTCATACCATGTTGGGCTGAGAAAAGCCCTTAGGATCTTTGCAAGGCTAAACTCTAGGTAGGGACAATGTAATTGCGGAAGTGTTTAATAATAAGGTTTGAACCACCTTGCGCTGGTATGTGAGGGCAAAGTAGATTAATGAAAAACAAGAGGATACAAGGTTTTATAGGAGTACAAGGAATAACAGCTAATAATCGTTTTACTGTTGTTGTGGCGGTTCGATACAGTGACGACTCGGGCAACTGCTCAATAACGAGTCAGTTGTGCGTCCTTGCTGTCGCGCTGTATTTGTCGAGTCAAAGGTCAGCGACCTTTGACCTTCGCGTAACCTCCGGCTGTTACCATTTTGTCAACCTCCTCGGTTGACTCGCCAATGCTCCGTTGTTTACGGTTCGGTGTTTCGACACATTAGAAGCGCTTTAAATTACTTGTTTCCAACAAGGTTAACCAAATTTGCGCGTTTTTTCTCGCGCCAAAACGAGTGAACAAATACAGCGCAACATTGTGAGGGGTGTAAATTATTGCACACAAAGTGTATCCAACGTCAAGACAGGTTCAGTTTCGATAATGCATAGCTCGTTACTACTCTGATCCTAACTTCTTGAATCTAAACAATCAGACTATATAACTTCCCAACACTGAGCAATCAAGGTGGTGTTCTTCTGGAAAATAAGCACCCATAATACAGGGGGAAAATTTTTTTCCAGATTCAGGGAGGCCTAATTTGAAACGTCTGCCCTGACCTAAACGTCAAGCAAGACTGTCTGTCGAAAGTTTGGTCAAATCCTATCCTAGGGACAACCCTACTCCACCACTCTCTGACAGCATACCGTTTATATCATTACCAGGCGACTGCTCTCTTTATTTCTTCTTCCCCCTGTCAGAACATAGCAGAAAGGAATGAGATGAACTAGATAGGAATGTGGTACAAATATGGCAAACCCTAATTGGGTTGTACCCCGTATGGCTACCCCACTACAGCCTACAAACATATTTGGGCACACCCCCATAGGCGAAGTGGGGAGAACAGGTGGTCACAAGACCAGTCTTGTTGGACCACTCTGAGCTTGCTTTGCTTTTCTTGACACAAGGCGATGGCGGCCTTGTTGTCGACGTACAGAACAGGAGGAGAACGAGGCCGCTCTCCCAAGTCAGTCAGCAGGTAGGTGAGCTAGCGTAACTCCTGTGCAGCCATGGCTCCTGCGTAGATCTCAGCCTCACAACTGGAGCTGAGAACAAACGACGAACGGTTAGACCGCCAAGAAACAGAGCCGAAACCAAGGCTGAAGGTGTAACCCTGTGACGATCGCTGCGTAGCCAGGTCGACAACACAAGAGGCGTCTGAGTGTCCAGTAAGGACAACTGGACCCCGTCCTCCAAGCACCAGCCCCATGCCCGATGTAGTTCACAAGTAGCGCAGCACCCTCTTAGCAGCCTCCTAGTGCTCTCGCCGGTGTCTCCCAGGCGTAACATAGCGGGCCAGGATGCTAAGAGGGTACGCAAGGTCAGGTCGAGTGTAGGTCATCAGGTACATGAGGCAGCCCACAAGCTTTGGATACGGGCCACTCGGCTCTACGGACTTGTCCGAAGGTGGAGCTGAGAGCGAGTGACCGGTAGGCAGAGGAGTGGACTGTGGCGAGGAGAACTGGAAGCCGAAGCGCTGAAGGACCTGCTGCACCATGTGTGACTGAGTCAGGGTGATGGTGTGGCGTGCTCTGTCCCAGGTGATCTGCAAGCCAAGGTAGCTGCGCAGCTCACCCAGGTTTGTGCACGTGTGTCTCTTCTGCAGCTCCGACTTCACAAGGGCCAGTGCCTCAGTGTCAGCAGTGGCAAAAACCAAGTCGTCGACGTACACGAGGATGTAGAACGGCGGCAGCGAAGTGTCGGTGTGCAGAAACAGCGACGGGTCAGCAGTGGAAGGAGCAAACCCAAGAGCCGCAAATGTATTCGTCAGTGTGTCGTGCCACTCACGAGGCGCCTGGCGGAGACCGTAGACTGGCCGCCGGAGGCTCCACTAGGTACCAGGAGGAAACGACCCAGTGAAGCCAGGTGGGCAGCGCAGCCAGATCTCCTCGTGCAGGCTGCCCTGAAAGAACGCTGTGCTTAAGTCAAGAGAGTGAAGCTCGTAGTTACGCTGAGCGGCAACGTGCAGCAGTACCCGAAGAGTGGTCATCTTCGGGGTAGGGGAGAAGGTCTGGAAGAAATCAACTCCCTGTCGATGACTGAAGCCTCATGCAACGTAACGAGCCTTGAAGACAGGCGGAGAACCCGGCGGCTGCTTCACTCGAAAATCCACATGCCATTGACTATGTTCGCCCCAGGAGGGGGAACTGCATCGACGTAGGTGCCTGTGGACTTCCATGATGCCATCTCTGCGTCCATGGCTGTCTACCACTATGAGGAGTAGGGACCCGTAATCGCCTCTGCGTAAGAGCGCGGGTTCGGGATGTCTAGTGCATCCGGGTCTCCCTCAGGTGCAAGCCTCCAGGCCACGAGATGAGGTACAGCAGCCGCAAGACACTCAAAGTCCTCCTGCCTGTCCTCAAGGACGTCCGTGCCAAGAGCACACTCACCCCCGACGGACGAAGGACAGACAGACTCAGACTCTGCAACAAGACTGGCGGCGTAGTCTAGACGACACGCAGCAGCAAAGTCCACAAGCTCAGCAACTAAGGCAGACGCAGCAGTGGACTCAAAAGAAGGGTCAGTGACAACAGTAGCCAGGAGACGTGTGATAGTAGGGCTAGCAGCATGAACAAGATCAGACTCAGGAACGACAGGAAGAGAGGACGCAGGAGGAGACGGCAGAGGGACGCGTTGTGGACTAGAGGAAGGACGAAGTGCCATAGTGTGAGTACCTGGCACAGGAGGAAGATACGGACGTGGGACACGACGAGCACGGTGAACAGTGCGAACATGGGAGGCAGGACGAGATGCAGGTTCACGACGCGCTGTAAGGGAGACCGGCTGCTCAGTGTAACGAGACGGGGCAGGCAGCGGTGAGTCTGGAGGAAGGGCAGTGGACGAAGGAAGACTAAGAACCTGACGAAGCACCGACTCAGGCGGAAGCTCGGACAGCTATGGCGGCGGCAAGAGAAACGGTCGCTGCTGCACAGGGCCTGCAGCTCTAGCATCGTTGGCTCTAGTGCCGGCAGCGTCAGCACCTCCAGCGCCAGCGCCTCTAACTCCAGCTCCAGCAGCTCCAGCGCCTCCAGTACCAGTGTCTCTAGCTCCAGCGCCTCTAGCTCCAGCTCTAGAAGCTCCAGCGCCTCCAGCTCCAGCGCCTCCAGGACCAGTGTCTCTAGCTCCAGCGCCTCCAGCTCGAGCTCCAGTAGCTCCAACGCCTCCAGCGTTAGTGCCACTAGCTCCAGCGCCTCCAGCTCCAGCACCTCCAGCTCTAGTACCTCCAGTACCAGTGCCTCCAGCTCCTGTGCCGCCAGCTCCAGCTCCAGCAGCCCCAGCGCCCCCAGCGTCAGTGTCTCCAACAACGCGACTCTGAAGGCGGGTGCGCCGAGCAAACCACTCGCGCAGCTGCTGTGGCGAGAGAGGCTCTCGCTGGCTAGACCGCTGCGGCGAGGCACTCGGAGAACGACCAGCAGACGCAGCACCCCCAGGCTCAGCACCTCCAGACGCAGCACCCCCAGGCTCAGCACCCTCAGGCTCCGCACGCAGAGGCTCAGCACCCTCAAGCTCCACACTCACAGGCTCAGCACCCCCAGGCTCTGCATGCTCTGATACCATGTCAGAGTCCCAGCCACTAACCACCGGGATAAAAGGGCTTGTTTGTGTAGCAGGTGAGTGCGCCCATAACCCCCCAGGCCAACGTGCCTGTAACCCTTCCCTAGGATCAATCGGGGATCTCCAGTGGACCTCTGACACCCCCCCACACTGGGATGCCCGAGGTGCACACACCGGGATTTGAACCCGAGACATTCGCTCTGATACCATGTCAGAATCTAGCAGGAAGGAACGAGATGAACTAGACAGGAATGTGTTACAAATTTGGCAAAACCCTAATTGGGTTGTACCCTGTATAGGCTACCCCACTACAACCTACACAACATATTTTGACACCCCCAAGCGACTGCCCTGCCCGTTCCCATTACCCCACTTTCCCCAAACACCAACTGAGCAATGAATGAACTCCCCGACAAAATCCCCCACCTCATGGTAAGTCACGTCAGCTCCTCAACCCCAACACCTAGCTATCACTCTCCTTGATCCCCTCCTCCCCACCAGCACCCCCTTCCCCTCCTCCTCCTCCTCCACCACCGCCCCCACTGCCGTGCTCAGCGACAAACTCCCCCACGCGCTTGGCCACCTCCTAGTCATACGCAGGCCCCTCCAGCCCAAAGTGCCCCACGCCCTCCACAATGCTCACCTTCGCCACGCCCGCCGCCTTGCCCGCGCGCACCTCCAGTTGCTTGGTGCTCGTAAACTCGTCCTCGGCGCCCATGATGAAGAGCTTGGGGCCGGGCCAGGCGAGCACGGTGGAGTAGTGCGAGCCAAAGAGCAGCGATGAGGGGAGGCCAAAGGTGTACCCCACGCCCACGTACACCTATGGGCAGTGTGGCAGGGCTGACCCAGCGATGGGTGCTCCTGCATGGGGAAGAGGGGGATGAGGAGGGGGGAGAGGATGGGAGAGAGGGTGGGCATGAGGGGTCAGGGGGAACCGACGCCCACTTACAGGAAGTGCGGCATACCTCGCAATGGGCGCCCCTGCACGTGGGGAGATGGAGGGGAAGAGGGATAGGAGAGAGCTATAAGGGTGTGCAGATGGCAGGGTGATGTAAGCGTGTATAACTTTACCTGCTAGCCTGTCTCATCGACCCAGGGAACTATGGAGCCTGCACCACTCCCCCACCCCACGCGAGGACGAAAACAGCAGCAGCACGCGCGCTCACCTTCGGACGACCCCAGCAGCAGAATGCACTGGCCATACTTGTCGCTTGCCCAGCGGCACACAACCATGACATCCGCCACTTCGGGCTCGCCCGTGAACGACGCGTGCCCCGTCGACCTGCCCGCGCCCCGTAGGTCGAACGTCACCACGCTGGTGGGTGTGTGGAGCGAGGGTGTGGGGACGTAAGGGGGAGAATGAGGAAGGAAATTAGGTGGTGGGTTCGCTGAAATGATTTGCCTGTGCCCGTCCAATCAAACGTCGCCACAATGAACCGTGGCGGAGGCTTTTGAAGTTCCTCGAATGGCGACGAGTTTAGGGAGCGAGCGGCTCGTACCGTGCGAGGGAAGGAGAAGGGGAGAGGAGATAATGGAAGGATGAGAGGAGAGGAGATAAAAATGGAGGAGCGGAGATGAGGTGGACCTACATTGTAACACCGCGTGCTGTAGCGAGCTTACATTAAGGTTTAGCATGGTGATCCGAGCGGATAATCTCTCCTCTCCGTTCATCCCGCGCCCAGCTCGCCTCCATGAAACACACATGTTTGGCTAGAGTCTGCCTAGTCGAGCGCGGATGCCACTTAAGCACGTCAGCAGTGTCAACGCCTGTAACGGGTAGCCTAATCCGCATCTCCAGAATGGTTTGTGCGTAACATGTACTTGATCTGTAAATCCGCCTCCTAAACCCGTACGTACTTAAACCCGTGTAGGCAAGGCATTCTGGAACCCCCTCCTGCAGCGCGTCGCCGCCAACAGCAATGCCTGCTGCTGATTCAACCTCAGGCGGCTCGAGGGCAAATGCTCTTAAACTCACTTGAACCCGCGCAGGCACAGGCATTCCGCCAGGCCTTGTGTGACGGCCTGCGAGCTGCCCATGCGCGAGTAGGGATGCACGATCACCTCCAGCAGCGCCTGCTTCTTCTGCTGCTCGTACTCCCCGCCGTCGAAGCTCGGCCGCGCCGGCCATGTTTTGACGCACAGACGCACGTGTTCCGTGCTCGCTACCTGGTGCTCCTCCTGCTCCATTCTGGAATGTGACTCTTGAGAGAATAACAACGGGTTGAATGAGGAGTATGCTCCAAGACGACAGGGCTTGTCGACCTGTGAGTTATTTCGCAAGGTACGGTACGAGGCCGTCGGCGAGACCCCTCGCTGCTCTTGATATCATTCAGTGCGTGATGAGTGGTTTCTATGAGCTCTGCAAGTGGTAGTTTGTCTGTGAGAGCAGTGAAGCAAAATGGGGCACATCCGTTTCGTACAATTTCGTCAACCAGACAACCATCATGGAAACCACCATGGAAACCATCATGGAAACCGTCATGGAAACCTCGATCTCGCCGCCATGGCTGCCTAACACCATCCTGGAACTCACATTGCGTGAAGCCTATTTATCAGCTGGCATTGTACTCGCTACAGCAAGACGAAGAGGATCATATATTTTATGTGTTCATCAGGCGAACATTATATTATCCTCTCATTGGAGTTATACGCTGACTTAGCAGTCTAAGCTCAAGGCTATGGCGTGGTTCCCGGGGTTAAGAGTCGTCACAAGGCTACCAACTAAGCATAGAATCATTGGCCACTCGGATTCTACCTCGAGATACCAGGATGACCCTAAAGTCTCATCAGCGGTGTTACATCATCTATGCCAAGAACAATGGGCTAAGGCAATTACTGCATTAATACTTAAATGTGATGTGCTCAGACTTCTGGCTCAATGCTTTCAACAGCTTTGCTCGTCAGAGAACCTACCGAATACTTGTCATCATCGCACGATGCCTCCGAAGAACTCCCGTAAGGCAACGGCGGAAGCTGTCTCTGACAACCCGGTCGTTGGCTCTTATCCTGCAAACAAGTCAACGCCAAGCAAATGGTCAGATGTGGTCGTCAACCTTTCGTCTGAACCGGAGGTGTATTTCAAGGGCGTATCTGCCGATATTCCGCCGGAGCTGGTTCTGGAGGTGATGGTGAAGCACCTGCTCAAGATCCGGAAGCAGTCGGCGTTCAGCGAGGGCCACTGTTTCCATCGCATCCTTCACCTGGTCACCGGTACAGATACGGACAAGATCAAGGGGCTGGTTGTTCCGCACGCCGGCGATAAGCACCGTTGGCGCCACGAGTACTGTCACCAGCTGTTGGGAGGCACGACTCTGCTGGCCCACTTCCCTCTGCTATCTTGCTCGCTCTGTGGTGGCCACCATCATAACAAAGCTTCATAATGCATTCATCATGGAATGGCAGAATAACATAGGGAAGTGGAGTTTAACAGTGGGTCGGGTACATAGGATCAATGGTAACTGTGCCTTACCATTTCGTGTCTGCAGTCGCTTGTTGTACTGGCCTTTGTCAGTTGCTAACACCGCGCTTGTCTCTCGCAGCTGCTTCTCTCTGCACTTCTTCGCTTGTTACCCAGCTCCTGCGGCCTTTGTTCTCATTTCCACTGGAAGCAACTGGGAGGAATGGCTGTGCACTCAGGAAGGCTGTGGGAAGGCTCATGGCAAGCCCTTCATGGCTGTTAGGAATCATGTCACATTGGCAAACAATCTGCTGGGTCTGGAGAAGATGGGGGTGGCCACGCGTTGCTCGCTAGAGAAGCTGAATCTGCATGTCATTTGCAAGGAGTACGGGATCTGAAGTCTGAACTCACCCGTCTGGGGAGGAGCTGTGCAGCCGTAGCGGTCGTTTCTTCTCTGGTAGCAGTATCTTGTATCACCGGCCTGTGGATGCGAAGAGGCCTTTGAGCAGTGATTTAATGAGTACAAAAAGCTTACTGTCGTTTGCAGGCCTGAATGTCAACGGCCTGTGAGATGGAAATAAGCAACAGCGAACAAAAAACTGGATAAAGCAAGCAGCGGAAATCACCAAACTGTCAGATGCTAGACTCACTGATGACCACCCTTACTGGAACTCATTTAGGCAGCCGCAGATCTTGGTCGCTTCACCTACCGCTAAGGCTGGCGGAGTAGCTCTGATTTGCAGGAGGCACGGACAGTCGTTGCACAATACCCTCATCCACCCATCCGGTCGGCTGATAGCAGCCGAAGTCCACCATGACACCTTTCACATCACTTTGATCGCAGTTTACTTCCCGGCCGATGTCGTTGAACGGAAGGCGTTCATCCGCAGAGTGCTGGGTCTTGTAGTCGACACGGTGCAGCCGGGATCTCACCTGCTCATCTTGGGGGATTTCAATCTAGTGGAGGACCCGCTGCTGGACAGGACATCGAAGAAGGGGACAACTAATGAGAATGAGGAGTTATACCGCCGCTGTTATGCTTTCCGCCTTTCAGACGCTGTCAGAGTGCTTCACCCATACAAGAGAGAATTCACTTTCTACTCCTGCGCTAACCAGTCCACCTCGCGTATTGACAGGGCACGTATCTCACAATCGTTGTTGTCGCATGTCGAGTTCGTCTCACACATCATGCCGGCTGACCTTATCTCTGACCACAGCTTTGCAGTGAAGGCGGCCTTCAGGATGGATACACGGGTGCAGCTGGGCCCTGGGCTCTGGAGGCTCTCTGCATACATGATAGACAGACCGGGGGTCAGGAGAATCATTGAAGCTGTGGAACGGCAGGCGGGTTCATGCGGAGAGGGTTTTGAGCTTCTGACTCCTCGTCTCAACACTCCTCTCAGAGCATATGCGAAAGAAAAGCTTAAGAGGGTCCGGGCTACAATGACTCACCTTTATCGGTCGGTCGCAGATCTGCAGCAAGCATGGCAACGGGACCCAGGCTGTGCTCGGCTGAAAAGCTTGCTGGATGAAAGGGAGTTGCAGCTGAAAAGCTATCAGCTGGTACGACAAAAGAGACTGGACGTAATGGCGGGGATGAAAGAGGAGGTCATGGGAGAGGTGGCGTCTCCACACCTGTCGGCAAAAATCAAGGCCAGAAAGGGGCGTACACAAATCTCAGAGTTAGTCGCTGGCGGGAGGCTGGTCACTGACAACAATGCTATTATGGGAGCAGCGTCGCAGTACTACAGGGAGCTTTTTGGGCGGGACAGACAGCAGGCTGAAACCACATGGTTTCCTGCATTCGGGAGGATATTGTCAAAGAAGTCGGCGGAAGAGGTGTGCACGACCTGGACGGAGAAAGAAGTGAAACACGCTTTTCGTTCAATGGCGAAAGACAAAGCTCCGGGGAAAGATGGGTTGCCAAAAGAGTTGTTTGAGCTTCACTTGGACGTCTTGGGCAAGCATTTCATGCAGCTCGCAGACAGTTTCGCGACCACGGTATCGTTGCCGACGAGCACAAAAGATGTAGTCACCATCCTGCTACATAAGAAGGGAGGGCGGGATCAGCTTGAAAACTGTAGACGGATCACACTTTTAAGCTTCACCTATAAGGTGCTTGCGCAGGTGGTTGCGGACAGAATGAAAAGAGTGCTGCACGAGGTAATCTCCACGGAGCAGTATGGGTTCTTACCCGGGCGGAGACAATCGGACGTAGTGGGCTTGGTCACGGATATCATTGAAGCTGCAAAGAATAAGGACCGGAACTGGTACCTCCTGCTGGTTCACTTCAGGAGAGCCTTTGACTCAGTCTCGAGGGATTTCCTGTTCACGCTGCTCAAAAGGATGGGATTCCCAGGCCGTTTTGTGGACTGGGTTCGGGGCCTGCACAAGGACACGCGTACCAGCATGTTAATCAACGGGTGGATGGGCGAAGCGGTTGACGTATTGTCAGGGGTGCGCCAAGGTTGCCCCCCTGCGCCTTACCTTTTTTTGTGCGCAGTGGAGCCGCTGGCCCAACAAGCGGCAGCCCGGAACCTGGGCCTCACGGGGGGTAATCAGCGACTGGCGTATTTGGGTTACGCTGACGACACGACTCTGATACTTCAGGGGGAGGAGCACATCGCGGAAGCAGAGCAGCTGTTAGCAGATTTTGAAGCAGAGTCGGGCTTAGCCACGAACAAAGGGAAGTCGTCTGTCTTACCTCTTGGGCGGAACCTGAACAAGCAGGCCTGTAGGACGGAGCGGAACGACTCCTGGGAGTGTGGGTGATGCCGGCTGGAGGCTGCGCTCCCACCTGGGAGAAAGCTTTTGCACGGATGAATGAAAACTAAGGCATCATCTCACGACGGGGGCCAGAGTAGCGGTGATCAAATGCTACATCTCACCTACAATTTTCTTCCAGGCACAGGTGTACCCACCGCCGGTGGATATTTGGGGGAGAATTCTGAAGCTGACACACAACTTTATGTCCGGTAATCACGCGGTCCCAGGCAAAAAATCCATACTGTGGAGCCGGGAGCTACTGTACATGGCGAGAGAGGACGGTGGCGTGGGCGTAAGAGATCCGGAGGTTGAGCTCACTTGCCTTGCGGCCAGGCGTATTGGGCTGCTGCTTACAGAGACGAGTGAGCTAAAGCGGGACATCATGCTCCAAGCGGCGGACCTGCCACTGGGGACGAGTACCTTCGTCTCCCACGTGAAACTTCTGAAGTTCTGGCGTGGAAAAACTGAGAGG